GAAGACAGGCAGTCTGAGCTGGGAACGGCTGACCTGAGTTGACACACTTTTTTCTAGCTCTTTAAGGACACAGTGACCCCTTTCTAAATGGAAATAACTTCAGGTTTGCCGTACGAGCTGTAATCTTAGTGATATCTGGTCCATGCATTCCAGGCCCCCATGTCCCTGCTGGAATGGAGTGATGACTAGATGAAGTAGTTGAGGACCATGCTTGTCTTCTGTGCAATGAGACTGCAGAGCTCAAGGTTGGTTGGTATCTGTGAGCCAAAGTCAGCTGTGGCATTAGTGTGGTGGATTAGAAATGCTGTTATGCTGAAAGAAAGCAAGCAGGCAGCAGAAGTGTGAATGTGGCCAGCTTGCTGTGCAAGAGATTTATCTCATTCTGGTATTGGCAGCTGTATGTTGCAGGTCTGTGGTGCTTGGAGAAGAGTAAGCACCTGCAGGAGGTGGTTTGTTGTCTTCCCTTACCACCTTCATGGGATGTATTGAGTCAGATCAGTGTTGGGAGGCAATGATGTATGGCTGCTGAAGGAGCTAAGAATTTCAGTAGGAAAAAAAGATAATTCAGAGGTTTTCTTTTATCTCTTCTAATAGATAAAATGCTTGAAAATTGTCTCCCAACCCCTCATGCTGAATCTTTCATCCACAGCCTTCTGGAGCCTGCTCGTAGCCATGGTGCTGAATGTGGCCATCTCCCCATTTATAGCCCCTTCAATCATGGGCCGCTGAGTTGTTGATCCTGTCATCTCCTAATATTCACTGTGCTCAATTGCACTTCTTAAATATTTGCAAATAATGGAACGTTTTGTGTTTTTACATCAGTTAGGGTTGGATGATGCAAGATTCAAACTGCTTGCTTTGGGAGTAAAGTTAACAAACTGAGACTGGATTTTGCTGGTGCTTTGGTTTTTTAGTGATTATTCGTGGCCCTAAAAGCAGGAAGATGTTTCTCTTTTTGAAAGGTTATTCTAAGCAGGACTGGAAGTCTGCCGTTGGACAAAGCCATGGAGAACATAAATCTTGCCAAGAATCATCATCAGAGCCCAGCGTTTCTCCACAATGCTGTGTTAATGGGGAAGCAAAATAGCACATGCACCTGGGTCTGAGTTTTGGGGTCTAGTGGGGAAGATTCCTCTGGCTGGAGCCGAGTTCCTGCATAGAGGCTTCAAACCAGCTGAGAATATTGCTGTAATTTGTGTTTCAGCACAGTGATGTGTGAGTAGAGCTGAGAACCTGCATGTAGCAGGAATACTCGAAGGTGAGCTAGGGAATAACAAGGGAAATTGAAGGCTATGATGTGGGAAGGAAAGCTTGGCTAAGAAAATGCAACATAAGTTATATTCTTGGTGCACGTTTTAAAAGTAGCTGATTGGCACCGTGCATTTTGAAGCTTTTGATCACTGATGCAGCAGTTAAATGAAGGGGACATACAGCTGTGATTAATTATTGACAGAAGTCATTCCTTTTGTATGTATGGCCTGTAGTTGGACGTGAAGGTTGAGTTCACTTCAATTCTCAAGTTGGAAAGCAATGCAAACAAGGCACTTGATCAACTTCATACATGTGGTTCTGTTCATTATGCAAATCTGTTCCGGTATACTTAAATCAGCATTTGGTGGTGGGCTTTTATTTAGCAGGATAAGATTGTGAACTACCCAATAAATGCTCTGTGTTGTGCAGTTGGCTGCGTCCAATGGTTCATTCTCATGCTGTGGTTTAGTCTTATTTAAAAAAAAATAAAAAATAAATTAAAAAAATCCCCCACCCCCAAATAGCCCCTGGAAGGGAAAAAGAGCAAAACCTCAGGCTTGTTTGTCTTGTTCTATCTGCAGGTATTTGACCTTTTCACCTTAACTTCCATGGGTTTGGGGATTAACTCAGAGTAAATCACTACTGTGAGGCATTTGTTCTAAAGGAAAATTCGTTAGCTTGGTTCATCAGCATTCATACAAATATGGCACATTAATCTCTTTTTTGCTAAAACCAGATATTCCTTCCTGACTCGTTTTTTTTTTTTTTAACTGTAATTCATTATTCCTTGTAAAAATGCCACTGTAAATCACACTTTGTGAGTCTACCCCTCAGCTTGTCAGGTCGGCTTATTTGCAGGCCTCTGCAGGAGCAGTTGTGGGGATCTGCTTGCTTTTTCTAATCGTACGTGGAGCTAAAATACAATGCTGCTTTTTGCCAAAGCTTGTTGACGTTTGTTTCAGAATCCACTTTCTCTGTAAAGACAGGCATAATATTTGCCTGAGATAGGTTTTCTCTGATACCTGAGATTCTGGAGGTCACAGAACCCCCTTGTGTTGTACGGGTTTGGCTAGTTCTTCTTGCTGAGCTGCTGCAGTCTTGCACGTGAAATGGTGAACTTCATGGGTACGAATGGAGAAAGTAAGAATGCATACTCAGCTATGGGGAAAGGAGCAACAGGCACGTTATCCTTCATCCCTGCCAAAAAGTTGGCTTGCTAAGCACAGGGGAAGAAACACACCAATTTCTGTGTGAAGTCCTTTGAATCTATTGAGCCGTGTTACCGTCCAGTCCGTGAACAGTAGTTCACGTATCCTCCTGGTTTGTCAGGCTATCTCATAAACTGCAAACATCATCCTTCAGTGAATATATCTTAAGAGGTGGTCTGAGCTTAACTTTTATTTAATCTTAGCTCTAAAAGGTGGAGGTGAATTAGATGTTGAGTGACTCTGAGACCAATGTGACAAATTAGGTGTGTAGATCTGGAATTGATTGCATCCATCCAGCTTGGCCCTGAGTGCCTCCAGGGATGCAGCACCTTCTCTGGGCGGCAGTGCCAGGCCCTCACAATGTGCTCTATAGAGAGGTCCGTGTTGCATCTGGCCTGACAGGAATATTTACTTGTTTCTAGCTTCCAAATTGTGTTCTGTATGCCAGAAAATAGGACTCAAGGCACATACCTCCCCTGACAAACATGGAAGGACGCACATGACTCAGGATGTCATCAAACTAAATTGCCAGCAGCCTTCATGAACAACATGTTATTTTCTAAATATCGTAATTCTTACTGCAGTATCTGCTCTTGGGCTGTGCTGCAGTAACAGGATACTGCCAGAGCTGGATCTTTGGCCTGACCCCCTACAGCCTTTTTATATGCTAATGTGGTAGTTTCCAAGCAATGCAGTAAATATGTATTCCAGCTGTACCAAATTACTTAAAAGCGAGGAATGTTTTGGAGTAGGCTGTTTTGTGATGGCTCTTGAGACTTGCATTTATTTCTCTCCATCCAGCCTCTCAAAGCTCTGTTCCCTTGTTACCCTGTCCTCATCTGGGCCTGCAGTTTGGTCTGAGGCTGAGATGAGATCATGTTTGACGAATGCTCACCTACTGCTTGATACAAATAGCTCATTCTGAGTTCAAGATGAGGTGATAACTACAATGTGCTGTTCATTTTTCACCCTGTCATGCTGCTTCAACACGTTGCTAACCCGATAATTGAAACCGTTGTGTTTAAACTCAGAAACGCTTGGTTTGCTTAACCAAAATGCACATGGGAGTTGGACTAGATGACCTTTAAAGGTCCCTTCCAACTTAAATGGTTCTGTGACATTTAGTAATAATTGGCGTTCTTTCTTTCGTAACCAAAGCTTTGTTGTCATAAATGATATGAAGGATAAAACAGTAACTATTAAAGCTTGCTTTAATAGTTGAAGCAATATCTGCAGGCATCGTGTTGCAGTGGTCTTGTTGCAGTGATGCATTAAGGATGGGGAAAGCTTCCAAGTTCACAACAAATGCATCTTTGTCATATTGAGCAAGAGTAACGTGTATAGTGAGCAACGGAGATGTGATGCAAAGTACGGGTTTGCTTTGAGATTACTTCTATTTAAGCAGTGGGAAAGTTTGCTTGCAACTCACGGTGTCTTAAACCAGTAAGGATTCCATTTAGGGTAGAAAGTTGCTTCCAGATACTCCATGTTCTGGATTCAGAGGGAGAATGCAATTGCCTTCTTCTGCAGGTTGGTGTATCAGTCCCAAGATAGCTTTGTTCAAAGCTTTTGCATGCTTATAGATAGTGTAGGCAGGCATAACTTTTCACCTGTTATTTCTCGCAACGCCGAGAATTGCATCTGTTACACTGATACTTCTCCAGTGCTCTTTAATTACTGTAGAGTTGAATCTAATCTGCTGGGTGGGAGTAGTCTGTGACACACAGTAATGTAATCAGTTTTGCATTGCTTTGGAAAATGTTAATTCATCTTTCAGAATAATGCTGCTTGAATTCTGAACTGAAAGGGGTTCGTGTTTTTGCCTTCAGTTGTCTGGGCCTTTACAGAAGAAACAAAATGAGAACAATTTTTGGTTGTTGAAGAGCCTTCTTTCTCTCTTTTGTGTGTGAGAACCTCAGTGAGGTGCAGCACTGCCTTTCTTTTGGGATCAGTGTTGGAACTTCACTTGCTGATTTACCAGAAATCAGTTCTTTCTGCCCTAACAGATATAGTTAGTGTTGCAGCAAATGTCTCTACGCGTTATTGAAGTCTAGATGGCTCTTCTTTAGTGCAGTCCTTAGTGAATTTTTCAGATCTTTTTCCGATCTTTTGTCTCACTGACCACAAGTCGTAATCTAATCACTGATGGTGATTCATCATTCATTCAGCTGCTGTTGATGTAGAACAGGACGAGCCATCCAAGGCTTTCCTTGTAGGGGAGAACTTGTAGCATGGTGGATGTGAAGCAGCTGGACTAGGTACACACTGGGAGATCCTTTCTGTAACACAGGACTGGAGTTAGCACTGGTCGTCTTCGTTCCAGCTGAGGTGGTACAGCTGGACTTGCTGCAGGCAGTGCATCCATTCTGCATAACATTCAGTTGCAGATTCCTGAGGTTTTGTATGATTTCTCCAAACTCAATGTGTTGGCCTATCGGTCTTGTGATCTCTGGAATGTCCAAGGCCTTAATGTGGAATTTGGGGTGGCAGACCATTAAATGTCATTGCACTGACTGGGTGACTGTTTTTCTGCTTTTACAGATGCCTTTGTAAATAGCCAGGAATGGACACTAAGCCGATCCGTACCAGAGCTGAAAGTGGTGAGTTTTGTATTTACTTCTTTCTCTGAAAACCATTCTGAAAATGCTGTGCAGGAGTGAAAAGTCTTCTGAGGTTCATTAAATTTACCATAAACATAGAAGGTGATTTTAAGAAGTGAAGTATTTGCTTCAAAATAAAACTCTGAAGCGAATGTGTTTTTTTGGTTCAGCCAGCATGCTTCAAAGATCCACTTGTGTGTTTTATTTCTGTTTGAACTTATGTGCCTACTAGCACCAGCTTCGTGGTGTGATCTTCTGGACAGGGAGGTCTTACACTTCTATAAAGGAGCGAACTGAATGCTAGCAGGTGATATCTAAAGCTCCTTTTATCTTGCTTGCACAATTTCTTCGAGGACCAAATGCCTTCTCTCCCTGTCCTAAAGGAACTTAAAAATAAATGTTCTGTCTGGTGGTTTGTTTGCTTATATTTCTCAAAGCTTTTTATTATACTTAATGAAAAGAGAAATATTTGGGACTTTCATTTAAGGAATCAAAAACGTTTTAGTTAAAAGAGTGAAGAATGATTCAATAGCTGCTTAAGATAGTTTTTCCTTTGGCTGAGCAGTTTCACAAATAAATGGAAGTAAAGGCAAAAGAACACAGAAAATTGGGGGAATTTCCCGAATTTCCTTTTTAAAGTTGTAAACACGGAGGCTGGAGATGAAGGCTGAAATCTTCTACTTGTTGACATCAAACATCACTGTGATGTTTACCCTATGAAAGTCCAGATTTAATTAAATACGATGAATTTCTCAGTCTATAAAAAGTGCTATGGTATTTCAGATACTGTAGTTGGTAATACCACAGACACCTGTGATCTGCTTCGGATGGTCTTAAGGCTGGATCAGTTTGTGCTTGAATCACTCCTGTCTTGTTTTAAATGCCTGAGCTGCTCCAACTTAAGCATCTGCTTGCCGAGTGGCAAAGTGAATTGGACAAAAACACATCAATTCAAGAATGGACAGCTGGAGCTATGCTTCATTAGTCCAGCTCTCACATGGCAAATTTCTCTTTCCAAATTGGAATTGATGATAATGCTTATGGAGAAAGCTTAGGTTAAAGTTAACATGACAAATGCCCTAGCTTGCAATGGCATTCCAATGGAAACAGCTTCCTCCCGCCTGGAGTTACATTCCTGTTTTAATTCCACTGGTGCACAGGGTGAGCAGAAGAGAATTGGTTGGTGCATAAAACTCTGCTATTAGAAGACAATTATCTCCTAAAATATCTGGCAGAAGAAAATAAAAAGAATTTAGGACTGAGAAGTGTTGGATGGAGTCCAGCGCACGGTGGTAATAGCTAGTTTATGCTGCGCAGGATCTGCAGAGAGTTTCTTTGTTCATCCCACCCCCTTCCTGGCCCTGCCAATTCCTAACACCTGGAAATAAACTTGTGGCTTGCAGGTGAGTCCAAAGCTGTAGTTCCTGTGCTATAATACAGAATGCAAACAATCTCGGAGCATCAGAGTCTTGGTATCACAAGAACTAACTGTGCCCTAAGGCTGCGTTGTGTGAATGCTTTCATCTTGAATCTCTTGTCCCAAAGTTGTGTAAGCAGCCGTATGAAAATAAACTGCTATGCAGCTGCTGTAGAGAATTGATTTTCAGTGGTCAGCATGCGTGAGCCTCAAGATCACTGTCTGAGGCTTTAGTTTGTGTAATACTGATAAAAGCAGAACTCTTACCGTTGCAGAGATGATAATTTGATTATACTGCAGCAAATTATTGAAGCTAATTGCACCAATGGGGGCTGTGAACTTGTGCTCTGGCAGAAAGGGCAAACTAGGTCTGAAGTCTGCTCTCCCTTTCCTGTAAATCTGCCCTTGGGAAGGAGGTCTGCGTAGTGAGTCCAGAGTAATCATCAGCTCCTGTCTGTGTGAGAGGAATTAAAAGGCAGTATTGAAGCCTGACTGCACTCTTCTGCTGCAGCACTGTCACTGTGTTGTGTCTGTGCTGGGCATGTCAGGGAGGTACGAGAAGTGAGAAGTGTTTGCTCCCATCAGCATTGAGTGCAGCAGTGCAGATGGGGAGATGAGTCTAAATGCTGCTGGTTTAAGAAGGAACCCCTGCTGGAGTGGGCTGTGCTCTGTAGGAAGAGATGGTCTGGGGCTTGCTGGGAGAGGTTGCTTACTGCAGTGTCTGGGCAGTCCTTACACTGGAGTTGACATTTCATTTCTGTAGCAGGTGGTTATACCTTCAGTATCTATGGACGTTTAAAGGGAGCACAAATTGAGTCTAGAGGGGCAGGGAAAATGCAGGATTGAGGAAAAAAGGCTCATAAAAATAACACAAGAATATGAGCAAAAAAGCGAATGGGTGGATATGTTTTGCGACATATTTTTCAGAAAGAATAACGGTCCTCCCTCCTGTCTCCCCTTCCCCTTCTAATATGTATTGGGCTGGATTTCTTTCATGTGTTAGATTTGTTTCTGCTAGCCAAATACTGCAACAGAACTGATTGTGAGACTTCTGTTATTGTCAGCTGGCTGGGTGAGACGTGTCAATTTCTGGAGCATCGCTGATGTTCCTGGATCCTGTTTATGGAGCTCTAAAGTAAGCACCCGGGTTTTCTGCAGGCTGTAGCAATCTGCATGGTGTGAGTGGCTGTGCTGCTCAGTGCTGTCAGGCCTCTTCAGGGGGAAAAGAAATCCAAACCTGCTGTATTTTTGTTCTGATGTCTGAGGTGAGTTTGTGTGACTCTAACAGTCAAATGGATTCACAGATGCCTTGTGGCTACACTGGCTACAAGGCAGGTCAGAAGTAGCTTCTATATGCCATTTCCAAAGGTCTAGAGCTTCTTGTTCTAAAGTGAAAACACAAAACACTCCTTGCTATCATGATTTTCCTAGCAAAACCATGCAGAATTTGTGTTCTTTCCAGTTCTTCAGAAGTTGTGTTACTCAGCAAGGGCTTTAGCCTGACTATTTATCTGCAGAGGAGGCAATGTAAGTAGTGTGTCTGATCTACTGACTTAGAGATGGGGTTTGGGGTTTGATTGCCATTTTTGGTTTGTTCTGTTGTGATACAAAGCTAATGGGGAGGGAGAGGGGGAAGCTTGCATTGAGAATACAAAGTCAGCTTCTTCTAAGAAGTGAAGCTACTGCTTCAGTGAATATAGCATTCTGGTCAGCCACTTGCTGAAGACAACAGACTAACCAGCAATAACAAACTAGCAAGCAGCTTAATTCCTTCTTGGTTTTTGGTGTAGCTCTTTAAGTTGCTTAGAAGACTGAAACTGTCTCATACCCCAAGTCTTGATTTGCTTAAATCAAGAGACCGTCTTTCTAGGCTCTTCTACAACCTTTGATTTTAGCAGGTAAGCGTGGGCATCTTGCAGGCTTTGCAGGTCCGACCTGCTTGTGGAGCAGATCATGTGGAGCATACCAATAATTAGGAATTTTGAGGTATCAGCTGTATCCTCTTCTTGTCGGCATTTATCCTCCCATGTGATGAGATTTACAGGCAGATGAAGTCATGCCCCTGTAGAAGTTAGCTTGCTTCACTAAAGTTTACTGGCCACTTTTTCTTTTCTATGAGGTTTCAAAAGTACATCTGAGGACGAGGGGATCCTCTGTAATGCAGAACAGTGATGTTCCAGGTAAACAATGTTGCTACAGCCTGGGTTTAAGCCTGCCTGTGAGTCGGGAGCTTCAGTGAAAATGCTCTTAGCGTGTGTACATGCATGAAGTCAGGGTTTCAGGGATCATTTTGGAATTTCAGCAGTGAAAGCTGGCAGAGTTGCAGTTGCTCACGTAACGTATAGTTCGCTGGAATAAGTTGTTCCTTAGCCTTGAAGGGGAAGGTAGATCTGATAAAAGGCTTTGTCATGGCCAGATGTGAATGCAACTCTGCTTCGTTCCCAGAGAGCGTTGCTCCACGTTAGCAGTGTCTGAGAATGCAGGGTTAGTCATCTGCAGAGGTGGCATTTGCACTGCTTTTTAGATGTAGGCATTTGGCATATGTTTGCATGGCTTGCAATTTCTTAGATGTAAATTAAATTAAAAACATCCAGTCTGCTCATTTAAACGCTCTTCAAAGTCAGCTCAAAGCCCGGCAGGCAGGTGTCCGTCATCCAGGGCTGTGGATTCCTTTTCATTTTGGTGGGGCTGCTCCTTGGTACCAGCTGCACTTACGGTGGGATTCTTGTGCCACATTTCTTCCTGTGCCTCTTTTTTTTTTATTACAGTCCATTTTCTACCTGTTCAAGCTCTTTTTCTCTAGCTCGGAGTGTGAAGCTTCCTATAGTTTTAGGTCAGAATGGGGATCTGGTTCTTCCCTCTCCTTTTCTCACCCCCCAACTTAGATCATGCGTTTCTCTTGTTTGCCATTACTTCTGAAATCCTTTGGGATTCCTGGTTGTTTTTCTTCACTGTATCCCATACCATTCATTACATTTAAAGCTTGTGCTATCACAAGTGGTGCAAAATTGTCTTCCACTTGCTCTCTGCCTCAGCTCCTGCTTTATCTGAGCTGACCTTTCATGTCAGCTGTAGAGTGATGGACATCCTCCACACTACTCTTTTATTAGTCTTAATTGAAGGTTGATCACAGCAGTAAAGAATAAATGATGGTCTTTGCTGCTCCCTCCCCAACCTACAGACTCTGAGGCTGTCATTGGGTCATTTTAAGGTGACATCGCCCTGTTGGTTTAAGCAGTTTCTAATGAGGAGGATAGCTTCTCACCAATTAGGATTAAGAAAGTGAAACAGAGACTGTGTGTTAATGTGTAACCTGTTCATCTTGCCTGTATTGAGCAACCACAAGCAGATCAACAGAGTTGGTCCTGTCTGCAGGGAGCTTCTCTCAGACTTTTGCTTAGGGTCAAGATAGACAAGTAGGGTAGAGCAAGACTGGGTTTGTTTAAAAGAGGAAATTAGTTCCCTTCTTCTCTCTCAAAAGCTGAGGATGTGCCATGTCTGCAGAATTATGTTTCACAGGGAGAGGTGAATAAGTGGGGGGATGATAGCTGAGCAAGAACAAAAGGCACTTCTGAAACACAAAGGAAATGCATTCTGCAGACCCACCTGCCCCAATGCGCAGAGCAGGATGACCAGGCTTGTATCTGCCTTGCTGTGTGTATCACATATGGTCAGGCCAGGGATAAAGCAGCAGCAGTCGTTTTGGTGGGACACGTATGCTTTCAGATGTCCTTACATTAGATTGCCAGGCATTGCCTAAAAGACATTTGATGTGGCACTTGGGGGTATGGCTTAGTGATGGGACTGGGCAGGTCGTGTTGATGGTGGGATTCCATGATGTTTGATGGTCTTCTCCAACCTAAATAATGCTGTGTCTCTATGCTGTGCTTTGTTTGAGTTGTAAGCTGTGTTAAGATTTCACTTAAACATACTGCTTTTTCTTGGAGTTGATTGCAGTTGAACGTTTCTCCTTTTTTCCCCAGGGGATCGTAGGAAACCTAGCTAGTGGCAAGTCTGCACTTGTGCACCGCTATCTGACTGGCACGTATGTCCAGGAGGAATCACCCGAAGGTATGTGGATGTGCAAATCCTTTTTCTTCCCAGACTGCATCTTTATTCATTTTTAATCATGCAAAAATGAATCAGTTAAGAATCCAGTTTGCTTTTTTTTCACTGTTCACTGAGAATATCCCTTTATGGTTCTCCAACCTGAAATAAGTAGGTGAAATAAGTTAATTTTACCTTTTTTTGTAACCTGTTAGTACCCCTCAATGCTTTTGCATCAGTTATTTGTCCATATGGGAAACTGTAGCCTTGTACTGAGTAGAGTTTACTGCCCTGGGTAGTGCTCTTAGATGCCAGAGTTACTGTATCTGGTGTTTGATTTCTACAGACCTGGGCCCCTCACCTTGGGAAAGTAAAAAATGTAACAGGCTAAATTAAAGATGTAATTTTTTCCTTGTTTAATATATTAAATCTTTGGATTTGAAGGTTTAAAAAGAGGGAAAAATGAAACTTCTGAAACTTCTTGTTATGCCACAGAATATTAATTAGTACCTGGAAAGTAGTGTTTAGCAATAATCCTCGTCTGTAGTTTGAAATCATAAATATCGTAATACCTTACAGTAGTGTCGTACACTAAATACTTTTACATTTTTCTTTATTTATTCTCCTTATGAACTTTTAAAATCCATCTCTGAGACACTGAATTTCTGGTTCCTTCTTTTCCTTACTGGCTGTTCCATTCTTTGCAGATATGGATGCAGGTAACTATACATTGTCTTCATGGCAGCTCTTGTTTCGAAGAGACAGAAGGCAGTTTTTGTACCGTAGCATTTTCCCTTTGTTTTGTGTATCATTTTGTTTTCTTTTGATTTCAAGTCTTCAGTACATCTCACTGTTTTTGTCCCTTGCTGTAGTTGTCTTCTCAGCAGTAGTAGGTAGCTTCATGCATCTCCGATAACATCTGTTTTGAATTAACTCTTACCAAAGGTAGCAATTAAGCATTTTGCTCCATTTTCTAACAGTCTCTAATTGTAGTAAAAATGGGAGAGGGAAAAGGAGTGGCTGACTGACAGGGCTGCTGTTGTGCCATCGCAGGGACAGCAATAGAGGCCGGTTTGTAACCTTGCCTTACACGTTTTTGCTAGGATGGATGAGTGATAATTCAGCCTTGCAACAGAGCTGCGTTTCGGTGACATTGAGGCTTGCTGCTTTTAGATGCTGATAGAGAGAAACGTGCAGCATGTAGGTCTGCTAACAGCAAGCACTCATAGTATAACGAGCCATCTCTGCTTTTTTATTTTTTTACTCATTTCACAAGCAGAAAGAGAAGAAAATCTTGCAAGACGTAACTGCATTGATGAATCACAGGGGTTAGCACTCTTCTCTTGGACTGTGAATGTTTTAGGCAGCGTTCCTTGAGAGCATTGCCAGCTGTCCTCTTTGTCTTGAAGGGTTTTTATATGCAGTGCTTGAGTGACGTTGGGCTGTTTCTCCCGAAAGGATTAGGTTTCAAAAGCACTGTCAAATCATTTCTTTGCACATAAGTGTAGCTGACAAGCCTCGCTAATGACACCATTTCATTAACAGCAGAAAAACTGAAGTAATTAAAGGTCTCTAATTCACCTTGTAAGCAACAGGGTCAAGATTTCAAATCAAGTTAGCATTAAAGAAAAACATACAGTTTCTCCTTTGTAAACATTAAACATTTGTTAAAGTGTTCTATTGCTGTCTTACCTAGTCATAAGTCCATACAGTCAGTGCAGTCCTTCTATTTATCCTTCTCTGTGGTCTTTATAACATGTTGGTTTGTTGAATTGGTTAAAAAAATATGATGTGTACCAGGCATTAAAGTCTCAGCTACCTGACTGGTTATGAGAGAAAGTTAATGACTGGCTGGGTTACAAACAGCAAAACATATCAGGCATCATACAAGTGGCATCCAATTAGTAAAGTGATTGATGCATACTCGGTGTGAAAATGATGATTACAGCAGGGGACCTCTATGTCTGCTATCCTTTGCCTTCTCAATTGCTACAATTACTCTGAAACCTGCCTGAAATTAGATGAGTGCCAGGTCTCCCCTAGGCTTTTAAGGTAGCTTCAACATTCCAGTCAATGGGTGCTCAGTATGTAAAGATGGGTTCATGGTTCCTTCAGCTCTTTTGCTGCCCCAAACCTCCCCACCAAGAGGAGGAGCGATGCAACATCATGGAGCTGTGTTCTCTCCTTGTTTAGCTTCACTTTTACTTCTGTTTGGAATTGATTTCAGTCTCTAGTGTAACATGAAAACTGTTTTTCTCAAAGTAAATCTTAGGGAGAAATTTGACTTTCAGATTCCTTTGTATGTTTAATATGGATGTAACTGTGTTGCTGTGAGGCAGCTTTTTAAGTCAGATGTATTTTGTAAGAGAACAAATGATGTGTTGCTCTACAGCTTGTTTTTTCAGTGTCCATCTGTTTCTTCCTTCCCGTTTCCTTTAATGGTAGCCTGTTTTAGTTCCTGTTTGTATTGGTAGGGTGGGTTGGAAGTTCTTCATTATGTACTGTGCCAGTTGGCATATGGTGATTGCAGTGGTGCTGCAGCACACATGAGGCGAGGTTTGGTTTTCTTGTGCAACTTCTTAATTAATTTAATTAATGATGTTTTTAAAGCTCCAAGCGAGATAGATGGGCTGCAGTGGGACAGGCTGCTCCACCGTAGCTGCAGGAAGTTCTGTTTTGTGCCTGGAGCACCTCCTGCCATCCTTCTCACTGACCTTGGGGGCTGCAGGGCTGCTTCTCTCACGTTTCTCACTCCTCCTGTGAGCAATTAAGTTTTGAACTTGACGAATCTCTTTAAGCTCAAATCAATGGCTGTTTTTATCTGGTTAATTTTTTTCCAGCTATGTAGGAATCTGGAGGCCATATTTACTAAACAGCCTGATTTATATTCCACATTTAACAGAGGAGGATGCGTCCTAGGCTAAGCTGTGTTTGTTCCTGGTGAGCAAGCCAACTGAAATGTAAATGAAAAGCCATGTCATTTGCTGTCAGAGTGTGTACTTGTGTGCTTTTTGTGAAGAGAAAACGTCGTGCAGTTTGTGAGGAGAAACACTTGCAGTTTACTGGAATTCCTTAAAATCATCATCATGCTTGTCCTTACACATGTAGCCTATATAGTGAGACTCGGCAAGAATTCCACGTGTGAATTTGATGGCAGAGTCCTGTTCCTTTCAAGTAACTGGGGACTGCATCCATTAGAATTCCCAGGTTGGAAACATAGTGAAGCTGCAGTGTTTTATGTGGAATTCAAATCCTTGTTGCAATGTTTCATGAGGTTTACACAGCACTCAGGGCAGCCAGAGCTATCAGAGTCCTTTTTCATCTCTTCATCACCGACCCTATCACTGACAGCGATAGCTTTAGACGTGGATTTCAAGATTGTCTCCTTCCAGTTCTTTTCCTGTATTTCATTGTATCAGCTAATTATTTTTGTTTGGCGTTTCATGCTGACAGCCAGACACACAATAACACTTGTCTTTTTTGATGATTTTTAAGTATTGCTGCACATGGCTCTCCTGGGCCTTTGGAGCCTTTCAGGCTTAGCATAAAAGAGTGTGTTTATGTATTCTGAGATCTCCGTTCCATAGCCCTCCTCTTCGTCCCCCTGAGACGAGCGGTGTGGTTTAGAGACTCCTTTGAAAAGCTCTGTTCAGCTGCTGCTTTAAGCGTTACACAAATAAGGAACGATGGTGATTGAAGGAAGAGATTAGTGTTTGTTCTTTTCCTGGGGAGAAGATGCTGAGGAAGCGGTTTCCTGGAATGGACTTCCTTCTTAGGCTGTGTGCCTTGAGGACAGGGTGATCTCTGAGATGATGTCTTTCATGCACTGCAGCCTGACGACTCAAAAGGTTCTGATGACTTATGTCTGAGGGGTTTGTGCCCTTGTAATAACAGGCTTCTCTCAAAGTTCCTTCCCAGGTAAAAACTGGAATTTAGATTTATAGCTGCCGTTGTAACTTCAGGCTCTTAATAACAGTAGAAGTGGCTATTAAGCAGAAGTCAGCTTGAAGTGGCTGCTGCTGGAAGAAGGGGCTGTCTTTCTTCTTCCTTGTTAAATTTGGATTCTGGATGTAATCTTTAAACCACAGCCCAACATTTAGCTCTTAAAGCAAAATACAGACTTTGCAAACTGCTGCTTCTTTTTTCCAGCTTGTATTCTTTTTCTTATTTGGAACATTCTGGGAGACAATTAAACAACAAAAAAACCCAAACCTTAGACCAGAGATGATGATTGGTGGCTTGGCCAGGTTTTCTTAGCACATCTCACTCTTTTGTTTCTTTATTGAGTTCAGACATATAGTAGCATGATCTAATTTTAGTTTCAGGGTTTTACTTCTTACTGTTTTTACACATGCACTATTTGCATTGCAGTACTGTAGTGAAAGGACAGCTGTCAAGGAAGCTGGCTGTAACCCACGTATAAAAAGCCAAGGAGCACTGAGGAAGGACAGAAACCAAACCAACAACAACAATTAAACTTGCACACAGAAACTTTGAGCAGATGCTGGCTGGAGATAATTTGTTAGATTGAAAAGTAGTGCCTGAATATTTGGTTATTAATGCCTGAATTCAGACTGGTGTCTGAAAGGTGGGAGGTACAGCAGGCTCGTTTAGTTGGTAAGGAATTGCAGTAAAGGAGGGCTAAGTTACTTTAAGTTGTGGGGCTTACATTTGGAAAGTGGTATTTTGGGTGTACTTAAAATGACAAAAAAAAGTGCTTGATGGAAACGGGTAGGTAGGAGTGTGCTAAAGCAGTGTTACATCCTGCTCAAAGAAGTTGATTGCTGCTTTTTGTTATTTGTCTCCAGCAGGCTTGAAAAAACCAGATTTTTAAAATTAGATTTGCAGCATCTATGCAATTAGTGGGTGTGTTGTGTTCAAGTGACTGTCTGCACCTGCTGTCAATGAAGTAAAACCAAAGAAATCAAAAGCAGAGACTTTCGGAGAAGCCTGGTTTTAAGTAGAAATGGAACCATTAGCTTAATCATACCCATATAGATGTATAGGTATCTTCTTTGCTTTACATTTTAGTACTCAATTTGGTAGAACTCCTGAAGCCCCTCAGCGCCTTGGTCCGAAGAGTGTTACTGCCTGATTCAGCTCGAACACGTGGCAGTCGTGGCTGTGCCTTGTTGGGCTAAGCTCAGAAACCGTGGTGTTGAGAAATGTGGAATACAGGAGCAGCTAGGCAGCAAGCTGTGGTGAGCCAGGCTTAGGGTCCTTCGAGCTGCAATCACAGGGCTTAGCACACAGAGAAAGTGCTGCAGGTGCTGTGGTGGCGGAGGTGTTGCTGACAGCTCTGTTGGCACTTGGGAGCTGGGGGTGAGCACCAGGGATCTGTGTGAGTGCTGGCAGAAGGAGCTCCTTGCAGGTTACTGCTGTTTGTTTTCCCCCGATAAACTGTCAGCAGTGTTTTTTCACTCGGATGAACTGTGAAAAGAGGGCATCCTTACCAAATAAAATGTATTCAGCTGTTATTTGCTCAGTGCCAAAGTTTTTGTCTGTGCAGTAAACGTTGGATGAAAACATGTTACTTCATCGCAGCAGTCAGATGGGGGTCTGATCTTGCTAGCAATTTTAAAAGTCTGTGTGCTCACTTGCAGCACACGGGTACTTTTTTACCTCTGTTTCAGAATACTGAATGATGTTAAAATCTCAAGCCTATTTGTTATAATGAACAATCCTATGTAGGTTGGTGGTGTTCCTTCCTTAGGAGGAGAGACGACCATAAGTTCTTCTCAGGCATGTGTAACGTGGCAGGCGTAGTTCTGGTGGACTAGCTAAGAATCAGTGTTCCAGTTACAAACACTTATCTCTGAGGGCTAAAGACTTATATCTATAAGGCAGCAGATAACTAAGATGAAGAAGGGCCAGTTAATGTTTTCTCCTTTGGTTCAGCACAGCAGAGGCAGCTAGAGAGTGTTCCCTGTAGCTGCCTAGGATGGATCTTTTCCAGTTCTACCCTGACATGTAGCTTTTTCTCATTTGGTTAATTTGCAACTTTGCAGTTCAGGACTGCTCTACTCTAATAGTTAAATTCATTGCCTCTTGGGAATGAGACTAGTACCTCTGCAGAGCTGTCTTTCAGCATAAGTGTCTCTGTTTGCTGTCAAGATGAACACACACACCTGGTTTCTATCTAACCGTATTACATAGCATGAACTGCAGTCTCTGACTCTGTGCAACTCGGGTAGTTAATACTGCTTAGAAGCATAAGCTCTATTTTTTTGAATGCTTTAAAATCAGTTCATCTTCACTCACGTTTCTGCCTGCTTTTGTGGACCTGCTAGATAAAGCCTTCTCTACAAGTACTGCAAGTGTGTCAGTGAATGCCTCTCAAAATTACACTGCTGAGTGTCATTGCAGCTACAAAGGCCTCCAAACCTTGCCTTGTGGAAGAGCAAGATGATACATTAGTGCTTCATTGGCAGTTTTTCTGTCATTTTTAAATTGTCAGTACAATGTGATAATGCATGCCTTGTGCCCTGTGGGGGTACCTGGCTTTAACTGTAAAAGTGGGCAAGATGGGATGAAGATCAGCAACAGGAGTTATGAAGGAATCCATCTACGTGAGTCATTACTGCCCACCAAAACAGCTTATTTTGGTGGCAGCGTGCTGCAGTCTGAATTACTTCTCATCTTTCTGCCTACAGCAAGGTATGAGGAGTTGGGCAGCAGCCCTTCTAGGGGCTCTGGTTAGGAAGGAGGAGAAAAAGGCACGCTGATGGAAGTAGGGACATTGTTTGGCACTTCAAGGAGAGTGCTGATATTCTAGCCAGCAGATGAATCCGTGCGTTTCCTAAATCACATCTGAAATCTGCATTTCAGGAGAAACAGATGGTGGGTTTTGAAAAGCCCAGACTTGGTTGCTTTGCTGTTGTATTTTATTGGAAAGCTCGTGCAGTTAACTGCTTGTGGCTCTTGATGTGAGAGAAAGCAATACTTCCCAATCTTTGTACTCCTATGGTTATTCGGTCACCCCAGCTCAACCACGTTTGGTTTTTTAAGTGTTATCTAGCACAATTTTTTGGCACTAAGGAAATTCCCAAAAGCAAACTTCACGTGTGGCTGAATAATGGCTTCTCAGCTGCTAATATGAATCGACATCAATCGCTGAGCTCAACTTGATGCGAATGAAAATTAATTTTAATGCCTTGTGTATGCTTTACTAGCTTAATTGGGAGTTGCAGAGAAAACATCTCTGAAGTATGCCCTTCTTGAAATAATCTGCATTCTTGCTGTGGTCTTTAGTCTTCAGAAAAAAGACAATCTTTGCTTATAACACAACCACATTTGTTGGAAGGTGGTGTTACTGGGCATAGGCTGCTGCAGCTGGCCAGGCTGGATGTGGCTCTGGGCAGCCTGGTCTGGTGTTTGCTGACCCTGCATGTAGCAGGGGCATTGAAACTAGATGGTCACTGTGGTCCTTTTCAACCCAGGCCATTCTGTGATTCTGTGCTCTCTCCTCGTGCCCCCCGCCCTGCCCCCACAGCTGTGACAGTCAGCTGCTGCACGGGTTTGTCAGACGGCCTGCCCCCCAAGATTTATCTTTCTCATATGGCCAAATAACTCCATCCCTGTGGCAATTTGCTTGAATAAAGAGTCTGGCAACTGAAGTTGAGCCTGGGGACATAGCATGAAAATCAGTGGTTGCTTCAGTGAGCAATTGCTCAGTGAAACGGTTAGCAGCTAGAGGAAGAGGTGCCCAGGCCTTCCAAACAGGGTGAAAACCTCACCCTGTGGAATTCCCCGTGTGGTAGGAAGACTTTACAATGTAGAGCATCTTCCATCACAAACGTGTGCTCTATTTGAAATGAGCATTGATTTCTGCAGAGGGGTGGGTTTTATCCTTGCTGCCGATTCCAACCGTCAGCCTTTGTGGGAGTGACACGCATAGAAATGAGATTAAGGAGCTTTTGTTGATTCCTTGGGCCCAGCCTTCAGCCTAGTGCCAGGTCTCTAGCCATGGCTGCAAATTGCTGATGCACAGACTTTGTTTAGCTTTGCGTACATCAAAGCTGGGTTTTTATCTGGAGCATTTCACGTTTGGAATCTGACCTAATAAGACACGTAGAGCACAGTGGGTGTTTTTGTTGCATCCCAAGCGCTGCTCTTGTGTCTTCTAGTAGGTATTTGTTTGCTTCCTATGGAGAAATTGTATTTGCTTCCTGAAGCAAAATTGGGAGCACGTCTGAAAATTGGCTTGTATGAATCGATACTGATCTTGCCTGGGAAAACTGAGAACAACACAGCAATTTTTAGTCTAGAGATGTAGAGAGAAAATAAACCACGTAGTAGCATCCTCCCAAATAAAAACCTCTGTGCAGCTTGAGTAATTTCTTTATGTGAATGGCTGTATCTCGTGGAAATATTTTCCAGGATGTAGGGCAGTAGGTATCCTCTTGCTTGGCTTTTCCGTGATTTTAAAGGTGGAACTGGGGGTGTGAGTGGATGTAGTTGAGCTGTTGATGGCCTGTCTTTCACTCTGTGCTTTGCCATGGCTGTTAGGGCATCGCAGGAGTGATGGTTGTGTTCCGTGAAGCTGGCCCAGGCTGCTCATCTTTTTATGCCAGTGACCTCTTTTGGCAGGTACATATGGGAGCTGAGAGATTTCCTCATTAAAAAGCTGCACGTGTCATAATACTAATGCAACTGGAACAAAGCTAGCTACCTCCTTTGGGACTACCTGACATGATTTTTCATGGTTTTGAACCTTATTCATTCATGCATTTATTTATTATTCTTTTTGAAGGTCATTTCTCTGTTTGCATCGCTTTAGATGGTCTCTTCTCCCTGGTGGTAGGGCAGACAGCAATGATGGAATGCTGCACCAGAGGTGTTTGGGCTGAGCATCAGGAAACATTTCTTTCCTGCTGAGTGTGCTCAGACACTGGGACAGGCTCCATGAAGAGCTGTTTGGTGCCCATGGCTGTCAGTGTGCAGGAGGTGTTTGGGCAGTGCTGAAGCTCTTGGTTAGCCCCAAAGTGATCAGCTGGACCTGGTGAGCCCTGTGGTCTCCTTCCAACTGATCTTTTCCATTCTAGGGCATCCTTTTAAACACTTGGGAAAGGCCAGGATCAGGTGCAAGCAAGTTGGTCTCCTAAGGTGGGTTCCTACAGGGAGGGAGGCCTTGAATAACTTTGTGCTATCTTAGTTAAACATGGTGTGCTTCTCAGTGCTGCTCCCTTAGAATAAATGAAAATTGTATTGGCCCTGAAGTGACTCTTGAGCAGATTCCATATCATTGCTCACATGTGATCTGTAAGCATTTTAATGCTACTCCTATGGTTGTTTTTTTCCCCAGTGTTCTATTTAAGCTTTCCATTTCACTTTTTCTGTACGTTCTTAATGCCTCTGTGTTTGAAGACGTAGTGAGATTTGAAAGGCATCCTGTTGGCAAGAGGGGAATAATGAGTTGGTTCTTAAATGCATTTGGTTCATGGTATTTTATAATTAGCTGCGTGAACTTTCAGTGTTTAGATAGAAGAACCAGGAGATGGTGATTATGCAGAGCTTTTCCTCTTCAATCACATATATGCTGCATTTACTTAAAGATTTGAAGTACCCCTCTGCAGGGCTGTGTATTAAGTAATTCGTTTTAACTCTTCGTTAGGAAGCCTGTACAATTAATTGACAACATAGAGAAATAACGAACTCTTAGGTGATGGGTCTGAAACCTGCTCTAAAGGGCTGGGAATTGGCAGGTCTCAGGCTGCTTATTGCTGTGAGTGCTGGGAGGGTCAGAGTCAGCCTGTGTGTGCTTGCTGAGTTGCTGGAAGGGCTGATGTTGTTCACTCACCCATCGAGTATTTAAACAGATCTAGTGTGGCAGGGTGAGAAATTTGATGTGGTTGTTGGGAAATAGAATTGAAACGTGAAGGTAACTCCAATTATAAAGTGACAGCGAGGAAATAATTTTATCGTAGCAGGCATGTTTTACCTGAGCCTGCTAAGTTCAGAAGTACGACAGCTGGGGGACCTTTGTGGCACAGTGGGTGACCTGAGTCCTTTCAGGAGTCAGAGAGCATCCCAGATCCTGAAGCACCCTGAGCTTGCTAATCCTGGCTTAGGCTCTGTCACACCAGAAACCCCAAACCCTGCTAGGAAGGGGCGCATCATTCTCTGTCAGATAGTACGTCTCTATCAGGTAGCACCATTGTAGCTTTTTGTCTAACATGTGTCTACTCTTTTCCCCTAACTGTGATTTGTGACAATAGAAGTACCATTTTCATAACACTGTGTGTGTACTGTAAGAACTGGGCTTCTCTTGAGGAAAAGACCTATGGGAAACTTATTTGAATGCTAATAGATGGTCTTTCTGCTTACAACCGTGACGAATTTGCCCTTTTTGGAGATGCATTTCTCACAGTTACATAAAAAAAAGACTACTTTCTTTTACCTGGCTATATCAAAAGCAAGCACATCTAATGTGAGAGTTAACGTTTATAATGCAGTTTTGGCTTTCTTTCCCTATTATCCTTAAAGCATGCGACTTAGATATCCTTTTTTCCACAAGCGAAGCCTTTTTCTGTTTTGCTCTCATACCTTTTCTCTTCTGTAATGAGCTGCTTTGTGTAACAGGTGGGAGATTCAAGAAAGAGATAGTAGTTGATGGACAGAGCTATCTGCTGCTGATTAGAGATGAAGGTGGCCCTCCAGAGGCACAGGTGAGCATTGCACGTGGAGCTTCATCGTGGCTTCCCATTTCTTCTCTTGCCATCTCCTATAAGAGAGCTTGCTTTACTTTGTCCTTTTCTGTGTCCTGCTCATTTTTCTGCTGCTAAAATGCTTATGTTATTCTCGGGTGAAAAGTACTCTGTTTACAAAATACTTGTGATTTGAAGAACAGTGTGAAGTCCTGTAGCAATATGGGTAAGTTATACCGAATACCTAACCATTATGGTAGCACAAAATTTCGTTTCAGTTTTTAGATTCTAATTCAGAATAAATATTCATTAAAGACAGGTAAAATAGGTGCATACTCAGTAGTGTTCATACTTGTGTACAAATCTGTATTCCTTACTGCTTCCACATTTTCCTCCCTGAGCCACTGTAAGACTCACTTTTCCACGTTCTGGGTCACTGTTGAGTTCTCAGGTTTTTACCTGGTTTCTGTATAACTGGGTGTCACCTCCTTGCCCTGTGGAAGGCAGCTGGTTCATCAGAAGGAGGCAGCTGCGCATTTGTATCCCTAGCACTGTCGTGCTATTGTAACAAAGTCTTTCCTCGTTGCTTGTGTGATTCTGAAACAGAGAAGTTTCTGCCCACCTGGCTGTAGGCAGCATCCTTGCCTTCAGTCATCCTCCAGCTCTCCCCCTACCTTTTCCTAGGTAGGACCAGCAGGGTTTCTCAAGTGCACAGCCTGTGCTGGCCTTGCTTTGCTCAGCTGTTCAGTAGCAGCTCAGCAGCAGGAGCTGCACCACTGCCAAACAGCTGAATGGGAGCCGTGCCAGCAGCAGCAGCTTGAATTTCAGAGCTCCACTGTTGCTGATGAACTACAGGAGGATGGGAGCGTGGGGGAAAGTGTCTGGGCAAAGGAGAAGAGAAAGGAGGTATGAGAAACGGAGACCGGAAGGGACATCCTGGGAGGAAGTGTGGCTCACACATCTGCAGCCTCAATGAAGTTCTCTGTTTTAGCCTGTGAATAATTTGGCTGATGTACACAGCAGTTGCCAGGCCTTGATTCTCAGAGAGCATTCACTCATTAAAAAAGACAAGAAAATTAATACTGCGATTGTGTGAGTACACACAGCCATCTAACAGACATTTTGGTACCTGGAGAATTGCTTTCCCAGAGTGTATCTGAACTGTTTGCAGACTCATGAGCAGACACGGCGTTGCCTTTGATCCCTGCTAGGTAAATTGGGGTGTTTAATTCCCGCTGTGGCTCTTCAGAGAAGTAATGAAAGGCCTGAGGTCTTAGTGCTGGTGTGCTTTTCAGAAGACACGTTTTACTTGTCAGTTCTCTTTATTGTGTCATGGGCATAATTTCAAGTTGCACATATATTTAATATCTTTAATCTCCTTATTAATTCCTACCGTAGAAAGTTTACCTTTGGGCTACTGAATATTTATAACAGAAGTGGAACATTATCTGGAGAAAAATGTTTACATCTCAATCTTCCCTTATAATTTAGACAGGACTAGTTATTTTAGCCTCAAGGTTCTGCATTTTGCAACGGTGCAGTATAATTCTGTGGATAATTAGGATAGAATTTTGACCTCAGTAAGTAAAGAGCTGAACTGCAGTCAGCAGAGCAGGAAAAACCTGCACGAGCTGCTGGCGCTGAAGTAAGTGCTTACAAACCCAGAAAGCTTGCTAAATGTACATAAACATTTCCCAAATGAATCTGCTTGCAGCTCTCTGTATGCCCAGTGTGTCCCTAACCTAAGTGGCATGTTGTAGTAGCAATGTAACAAGAGGCACGAGTACTGCTGGCTAAAACTTGTTTCCATTGGTCTAAATTTGGGTAGGAATGGAATCACTTAGGGAAAAATAAAGGCAGTGAGGTAAGCTGCAGTTTCTTTTCTGTACACACTTACTGCTATGTTAAATGTGTCTAGATTGTCTTATTTCACCTGTAAGCTGAAACTTGCATGGTCACTAACCCAGCACCTTGCCTTGAGCTGTGTGTGCATGTCTTCCAGTGGGGTTCTGATGCCAGGAGAGAGCAGTTGGCTTTCACACAGAAAGCTGAATGAGACAGCCGGTCCTGGTTGTCCAATTCATGGGTCTCTGCAGAAAGTAATTGGGGGGCTGAAGTTAATATTTTTGGACACAGAGATGAGAGAATTATTAGCATTGCTTGTAAATCCACAGCCATGTTTGCCCACAGAAGCAGCAGCATGAAGCATGCCAAGCACAGAGCGGGGAAAATAACGCGCTCCGTGGGGCAGTCGGGAGCTTAGGGAGATATAATCCACAAATACAGAAAACTGAGACTGTGATGTTATCTCTGTTAATGAAAATCAGCGTGCACTGATAGCGGTTGTGATCACAAGGCATTCCCTTGTGAGCATTGGGGAAAATCTTTGTGCATCCCAGATACTTGCATATTGATGCGAGTTGTGGTGAACGTTGACTCATCATCTTTTAAATACTGCACCACGTATTTTTTCTTAAGACCTGGTTACAGTCACTGCATTTTTCTACTTCCAGTTTCCTGCTATGTCAGATAAGAGTTGAGTTTTTTCCCTCTTTCCACTGCATTGCTCTCAATGTGCCTTTTCCATTTTTATTCTGCAGTTTGCCATGTGGGTGGATGCTGTTATATTTGTCTTCAGCTTGGAAGATGAAGTTAGCTTCCAGACTGTTTACCACTACTACAGCCGTATGGCTAACTATCGTAACACTAGTGAAATTCCAATGGTACTGGTGGGAACACAGGGTAAGTGCATTCTTTATTACATGCAAACACATGCAGGCTGTTCCAAGCTGGTAGTGCCATGTCCTGTCCTTTCCCATCAGTGCTGCCCCACTCATCTGATCATGAGAGCTTGTGTTAAGCTGACAGGTATTCAGCAAGGTGACTTGCTGACATCTGGCTTTCCTTGGCTGGCTTGCAACAGAGCTTTGGCACTGCAGGGACTGGTTTCAGAGGGGAGGCAAATGGCCACGTGGTGCCCTTGGGATGCAGTAGGTCCCTGTATCTAGTGGGTTTCCTGCAATAAATTCTGATCAAATAGGAGTTCCTGCATATGGGTGCTATGCTTCAGGCATCTCACTTCAGAGAGCTGCTGCTTTGGGAGTGTAGCACAAGTTGTTTTTTGAGTTCCTTCATAGTGAAGCATTGCTTGCTGTGTAGTGCAATTTTGGTTTTGGGCTTCTTCCCTTTTAGTGCTGCCAAAGCTTTTCATTGCTTTCTTAGCTTTCTTCTTGTCCATCTTACAGTCAGTGATTTGCTTTCAGCTGCGTGCCTGCAGAGCTGTGAAACCAGCACTGTGCTGCAGGAAGCAAGGGGAAGTGTGGGGAGCAAAGAAGGAAGAAGAGCAGCAAAGTCTTAGGGTGGAAACAGATGATGAAAACACGAAAAGGGAAGTAGGTACAAAAAAATTCCTAGGACAGCAGAAATTACAGACAAAAGCAGAAATGAACTGCTCTAGAGAGCATCATGGTCCTGAAATTGGAGCTGAAAAATAGGAAGGGGAAGCTGAGATATTTTTCCAACACATTTCTGTCACCTGGGGGTGAGGTCTTTCATCTTATAGCCGCCTGCCAGTTCCTCCTACAGGAAAGCTGGGGAGGGACTTTTTATAAGGGCAGGGAGCGGCAGGATGGGGGAAAACGGCTTTGAACTGGAAGAGGGGAAATTGAGACCGGATTTCAGGAAGAAATTCTTTACAGTGAGGGAGGTGAGACATTGGAACAGGTTGCCCAGTGAGGTTGTGGATGCCCTCCTCCCTGGGAGCATTGCAGGCCACGCCGGATGGAGCTGTGAGCAACCTGGTCTAGAAGGAGGTGTCCCTGCCTATAGCAGGGGGTTGGGATGAGATGGTCTTAAAGGTCTCTTCCGACCCAAAATGTATTTGTTTTACAAAGGTCATTTTTTGTTGCAGCACCGATGCAAGGGGAATTTTTAAAATGTGGCTAAAAATGGAAATGCTGGTATGTGGAATAAGCATGAGAACAAAACAAAGCCTTGTGGCTACACTGACCATCAAACTGTGCAGAGATTGATTCTGGAATTGACCCGTTTGATACCAGCTTTGTGTTTGAAATGCTCTTTGAAATGAGGGCTCTCCCAAAGAAATCAGCCCAGGCTGCAGCTCAGCCCGGCATTTGCTTTGCAGAGTTGATGGGTCTCAGTTAATTTCTGCTTAAATGTTGTTAGCGCCCTCTGCTGCCTAAGAAAAGAAGTCTGCGGTTCAGATTTGATTGTACGATCACTTCAGAGATTTGCCCAGCTGTTTTCTGGTGTTTGAAGAACACTGTGTGTGTGTGTGCAAATCTAACACTCTAGGTGTTACAGTACTGCATGGTTCTGTTTCTTCCTTCCATTCCATTGATTCCCTGCTGAAAGCATTCGGTTCTTACAAACATGAGATGCTTCACGCTCCAGGTGAAGTTTACTTGTAAGCCAGTGTTGCTGTTTTAGGAGGCTTAAAAGTCATTTGAGGTGTTTATATTTACCAGCCACTTGTTTTCCTAACTAGTCTTACTTCAAACCTCATGTCTTTTTGTGTGAGAATGTATTTTTTTTTTTTAACTGGTGGCCCAAATACATTCAAAGTAGTAACAAAGTATAAAGTTAGATTGATGTCCTCTGTTTTCTACAAAAAATTTTGGAAGTTATGTTTATTGTAGTTCAACTGTATTGGCAGTGGTAATTATGAGCCAAAGTCATCAATTTATAATATCTATTCATCTTCTTCTATTCCTGTTGCTGCAGATGCTATAAGTTCCAGTAACCCACGTGTCATAGATGATGCCAGAGCAAGGAAGTTATCAAACGACCTCAAGAGATGCACTTACTATGAAACCTGTGCCACCTATGGGCTCAACGTGGAGAGAGTCTTTCAAGATGGTAAAGATGACTTTTTCTCATCCATATCACGCAGTGTGGTTGACTAATTGTTGACTAACAACTCTTTTAGCCTCAAGCATTTTGAGCTTCTTAATTCAGCGTTGTTTTTCTGCTTGCTTTGGTTTTATATCAGCAAAGTTTTCTTTGCTTTAGTGCTCACTAAGGGCATTTTAGATAAGTAGTTGTAAATTGTGTCTTGCATGATCTAGAAATGAGAAGTAAACCAAGACAATTGATAAGGGCATAGTAGTCATTAGAAGTAATGCATGGCATTCTTGGAGTGTTTAAAGCTGGCAGTTTTGTGTAGGTATTCAGAAGTAAAGTTGGCTGCTTACGGGTAATTTAACAGGTGAAGAGTGGCAATGTTCTAGTTTGTCTCATGAAAGGTCTCATTGTGTGCCATCTAAAAAAGGAGTAACAAGTAACCTATTTTGGGCAGTTAACTTAGTGGCAGAACTGTGGCTGGAGAAGCTACGCTAAATCTTTCATTTGTGAACTTGGTGCACCCTCTAGTGGAAATTCAGCCACGTGTCTTGGGATTTTTTTGCCTCCTGTTCCAGTGATGGCAGTGTACTATTATTGCTTCTGCGTTTAGAAACCTAGTTTACGTTGAACTGCTCCTCCAGAGTCTTTGGTTCTGGAGGTATTGCCCTGTTTAGTTTTGTTGTTTGCCTACAAGTCCCGCAGCTTTATGAGCATCACATCGGTGAGTATCCGAGCACAGAGGTGTTCTGTATCTGCCAAGATGACTTAGGAAACAAGATACAAAAAATTCTAGTTTTTAAATGGAAAATAATGCCGTGCTTAAGTCCAAATAAGAGTGTGTGTAGCCAGCCTACTAGTAGGATCTCAGAGAAGACTATTTAAAGCTGTAGCTGTAATTTGCTTGCTGCTTTCTGTTGAAAGGCTTACAGGAATTGCTGTTTTCACTGCCAAAACTTTCTGCACTGAATATGACTTTCAAAAATCCATTTGGGATTTTTTGTTGGTATATTTATTTTTGAGTGCTAGCTGTAGTTAAATTTTTATTGACATATTCAGAGTGTACGTTCTACTTTTCTTTCTCAAGGAGCTTTTGAGAGAGAACTATCTTTGGGAAAAGGTGAGGTGATGGATTTGTAAGGTTTTAGGAAGCTTATTCGTGTCTCTACTAAATTTCAGTAGTAAATTCAGTAGTAGAGAGAATCAACAAACCTGTTCAAGAAATTCCAAGTTCTATTCCACTGACATGGAAGTTAATATTTACCAACTAGTGGAATTAAGAATTCTTCTGTAGAGATGTGCTACAGTTTCCAGGCACGTCTGGGGTCAAATCTAATTCCTGATCATTATTGCTGTTCATCTCAGCCTTTGACCAGTGAGAATAAGTTGTTTATTCAATAGGAAATAAGGGCTAGCATCCTGAAATGTATGCCAGTTTTACACACGTCCTCCAGTTTTGTTTCAGTCCTGTATGTTCACAGGCATTAACAGCCCGTGTGGAGATGGCACAGCAGTTAGGCAAAGGTTCAGCTCTTAGTGATTCTTTGTGCAGCCAGTCTGGTGCCCTGCTGGGTTATCTTATCTTCTAGGAAGCTGGTGTGACCCTGGAGTGCTTATTCTTCCTTGTAGTCTAAAGGAATCAGGCCTCCTCCTCATCAGGCCGTTGGTACTTGAATGGACAAGGCAGGTTTGTAGGTTTGTTCTGCTTTGTTTGCTCATAGCTGAGGAAGAAAAAGCTGTTGATCGCTTTCTTAATAACACCTGCCTATCATCTCCCACAAATACGGCTGTATGAAGACATGGATTTGCTGCCATACTTATGAAGAGCACTTTCTGTGCATTGGAATTATTTCCACGCTTTGCTTGTGTCTGGATCTGTTTGCTTTCGGAATTTGGGTTTAGGATTTAATCACTTTGTATTGCAATTCCAGGTGAGCTCATGCTCAGGGTTGGAGTGCTCCAAGGTGTTTGCTTTGGTAGCTCTGTAAAGGCATTTCACCTGGCAAGGGCCCACTAATTTTGCTGGCTCACAGTTTTGATGAACTTACTGATGGCAGTAGATGCTTTTCTATTGAATATTGGTGGAGTGGGAGATGAAATGGGAGAGATTGGTTTTGATTTACTCATTTTAGCTTTAGTATCTCGTTTTGCATAATTTGAGTCCTATTTTAGTCAAGTCCAACACTATGCAATGATTTGTGTCATCTGTGATTGATGCATACAGTCGAGGCTCCTAATGACCGTACATCCAACACTGCCAACCCCAATTCCAGCTTCTGTTGTTGAGGAAGTTTGAATTGCTGGTAGGGTGTTAAATCTGTGACTAATAAACTTCGAGTGTCCAAAACCTTTTTATAATTCCTAGTTAAAGTAAATTTCTCTCTAAGAGGATTTGTCAGGATGTTTGTTCTTACTTGTTTGAGATGTATGAAGTGTTCTTTCAAGAGTTTGAATGCTGAAGTCAGAAGAGTTTGGAACATTTCAGAGGGGTCTTTGTAGCCTTTAGAGTTGTCCCATTCAGGTCTCATCTCTGATGCTGTTTGAAGTTGGAGCTGCACAAGCAGGCTTTGAATTTCACTCTTAAAACAAAGGAAGTGGAGAATTCCAGCTCAGTAATGTGCTTGTAGCTCTTGGTGTTTGCAACTTGAGACTGTTGGATGGGAGAATTAAGCTTTAAAGATGGGTCTGATTAGTATTTGATCTTGCTTCAGATTGCCTCGTTAAGAATTAGGGGTTTTTCCTGCTTATCAAAACAGATTTTATCAATGACATTGGAAATGATTATCTTAATATTTCTTGTCAGTGCAATACAGCAGTGACTGTACTGCCCCAGGATGCCTTTTTAATGACTTTAGCCTTCTTGAATTAGCTTGATGTACCATTAATGCATAAGAATTGCTTTTATTTTTGTTCACGATGTATTCATAATTGCATGGCTTTCCCTGGTTCATGTTCAGCTTTTTTTGACCCATTTAATTATGTGCTGTGCAGCTCTCTTATGTTACAGAGGGAAAGGCAAACGTGATTTCAGTTCAATATTGAGTCTGTTACTGAAGCTTAGCAGTTTCCATTTATCCACTTGCGAGTGATGAAAGTGGAAAATAGTTCCTTTTTAGCGTGAAGTTTCAACATGGGGATCTTTGACGTTGCTTTGTCTCACTACTACAACACTGCAAGATGCTGACAGTCTGCCAGATAGTCACACTTGCACTATAACTCCCAAATCTCTTAACTTGGGGCAGGAATTGTCATACTGTGCCATTAGTCTGAAGCAGGCCAGTGCTGCTTCAATATTTGGACCATTACTGGTATTGTGCAGTCTTTTATTACCTATTTTCTCTGCGAATTAAGCTACTATTTGAATGGTATGCCTGCTTATGAACATGATCAGGTATTTCATTCCCAAGTCCTGTGCTTGGGATGTTCTGCAACCAACTAGTGTTGGCACTGTTTTGTGGAACAGCTGTGCCTGGAAGGTGTACCTTGGAGTAGAAATTCTCCATTACAGGATGGAAGATGACAAATTAATCCTTGCAGGCCTGGGTTGCGGGGAACGGCTGTCGCTTGTGATCAGTATTAGCAAGTCGGTTTTTATGGATGTATTTTCATTAAGAAACATTAATCAGTCTAATGGGAGGTAAGTAAAGCCTGAGTGCTATGAGGCTGACAGATTTTTAGGCAGAGCAGTATTCACTCGTACACTCGATACGGCCCTGGGGGTGCTTCAGTTCTGAAGTCAGAGGCTGAAGCTGTGTGCACCCAAAGTGCTGTGCAGAGCTTGGGAGCAGGTCCTCTGGCTTCTGTAATTACTCTGATTTCAGGAACATACAGCTGTGACCTTTCTGCAGAGTGCTTATGGCTGCAGCTCGGCATCAGAAGTGACAGGCGGCCCTGATGACTCATTAGTTGGACTTGTCAAAGATGGACTGGATCAGCCTAGTAAAACTTTGAGGTTTTTTCTTGCTTTCACGTCTGCTCACTGCTTGCAGAACAGCAGAAACCTTGTTGTGCCATCAGCCTTGTTTCTGCTATGGCTGAGCAATGTTTGTAGGCTCACTCTTAAATCCGAACGTCAGTAAAATTTCAACTCTCACTGTTCAAAGTCCCCAAACTTCAGTTATTCTTTATTCCTTATTTTAGCCTTTATTCCTTATTTAGGCCTTGTGTGCATCCTGATTTAAAAATGCCAGCAGCACGTCGTGGTTTTGTGATTTTGGGGGATTCTTTTATCCTTTCACAGAAATGGGGCTTCAGTGGTGCAACTGTAATTTGTATTGCAAATAAAGTTCCAGAGAAGGTTAGTTTTCAGCTGCAGTGTGTCATCCATTAGGTTATATGGAGTAAACAGCAACCTCTGAAAAACTTCTCATGTGCTTAATTTTATTGGGCACATATATATGGCTTTTTTTTTTTTTTTTTTTTGTAACTCAAATATATGCAGCAAGGCTACTTGAAGCCTTGGATGCTGTGGTGATGCAGAGTTATGATGTTCTGCAGTGGGTAGAACAGATGGACTTAGTTCACCACAAGATCTTCTCTAAATGGAAACAATGTTGGTATATTTCATTAAAGTATGAGAGCACAAGGTTTCTATTAGTGAAGATGGAGGATTGGTCCAGTAGTTTTATATATTTTAATGCAAATATGAGAAGAAGTTCTGGGGCAGGAAGCATTATGGTTGTTTGGTGGTCAATTGCCTTTTATTGGCAATAGACCCGAGGGTGAGAGGCATAAACAGTGTGTTTTATAGGTTCATGTAAATTTTATTTGAGATATAAAATGGCACAAGCAGGTTCGTGTAACGTCTGCAAACAGATCAGGGCTGTTTTCCATTAACACGAGAAAATGACATGAATGCAAATTCTGAAAGGGGGAGAAAGTTTGAAAATTCCTGTTGGGCTACAGCTGAGCGTTTCAATCTTTGCTGTTTTGTTCCTGGATTTGTTCTGTCTCATTTGCTTATCCCTGCACAAATTGGGACTTTTGTTCTTGTCCCTCCATGTTAATTTGTCCTCCAT